TGAAAGGAAGAAAATGACTTGGAATTGAAGAAATACAGAACATCTTTAAATTCTACCTGCTTTGGTACCAATTCTGAACTCTCCTCCATAAAATTTGTAGGGTAAAAATACCAGTTGCTTAATCCAATCATATCACTGTGACAATTAATACAGCGTAACTTATATATGGAGATTCTGAAAAACATAATTTCATCGGTTTATACAAATGTACTATTTCCCCCTCCTCTTTCCTGCTCAAAAGTCCCACTGAAATTCTTACTGCCTAGAAGCAAGAGGAATGAAAGGAAGAAAAAATATCTGGGGAATGGTATTTCTTCACAAAAGTCATTACACTTGGGCTTTCTAAACTTCTACAGACTACTGTATATCCTGCCTCAGGAGACCCTTAGAGATACAAAAATTGTTTTTTTTATTTGATTTCTGATATTAAACCTACGTTCTCACCGGAGTTGATCCTGTAATTTCTCTCACCAGACCTACACTGCCCGAGTTTTGCAGGTGACCAAGCCAACCAGTTGCAGCAAGATGCTGGCAGATAAAGCCAATTTCAAGTAAAAAGATCTTTCTCTCTGCGCTTGGCGTGTCAGTCATGATTCTGTCACTCTTTGGTCTCTGGGTCATTTGTTTTTCACTTCTTCATTTCAGTTTTTAAAGCATTTCACAGCAGGGGACTTACTGATGTCTCAATCATTTTATTCCCCACACCCCAAACACTCCTTCCTGTTCAGGAAAATCTACTCCTTTGGCTATTCGGATGTCTAATTCTTTACTTTTTCTAATTCTTTTAAGTTTTCAGCAGCACTATTAGTTATCTTCTGCTTCCCTTCTCTTTTGTCCAAAATTATGAACTCTATTTTCTTTAAATTTTGTTATAAAACATGTTCATATTATTCACAAACTAGAAAAAAAGAGAAGAAAAGCCTTGTCCATAATCCTCACTAACACAATCATTTTGTCTATTTTAGCATTTCTTTCTCATCTTTTGACTCACGTGAGTCTCTTCATGTATAGTTGTAATCACAGAATAACCAAAATAATTTTTTATTACTGGTTTTCCAGAAAGTATTCTATGTCATTATGAATTTTCATTGCTGTGATTTTATTGGCTGATTAATATTGCATTATGTTGATGACCATTAATCTAAATATTTTCCTCTCTTTGGTTCCATTCTTGTTAATAATGCGCAAGAGCGTCTGTTTCTTTGAATGACTCCCAGCATTTTAGCTTTGTGTCCCTTCAATTTTTAACCTAGTTGCCTTTTCTCTGCCTCCCAAAAAGCAACCTTGATGTCTGCTGTGGCTACTCCTTCCTGTATCTGACTTCCTTTTTCTTTCCACATGACATGTTCCATTCCAAGAGGAAAGGGTGGACCCGATCCGGCTACCCAATAAATCGAGTGGGGAACGTTCGGCCCACAGGCTGTGTAAGGCCCAAGAAATCATTTGGCCTGGCCCTGCCAAGGCATTAGGGGTGAGTTAATTAAATGCTTGACCAACGATAGCAGGCTAATTTTTTAAGTTTATAATTGTGTATGACCCGGGAATGGTATTATAAATATCTAGATGGCCCTCGGCAGGAAAAAGGTTCCCCACCCCTGCTGAAACGCTCCAGGTAAACTGAGTAAAAGTGGTTGCTGGGATTAAGGAAAGCTGCAGGTATGTGATGGAAGTATATTGGAACCAGAATTAGGATTATCCTGTGGTTCTGAAGTCTACATTTTTTAAAGCTACAGGAAGCAAGATTTTAATATTTTAGAATCTTCATTAAAGGAATGTAAAAATGGACTTCTTAGAATATCTAGTGAAAAATGAGACATGGGGAGGTGCTTTGAAAAAGTGGAAAGGCAACTGAATTAAAATCCTTTATAAAATTTTTTAAAAAATTAAGTATAGTTTGTATACAATATTCTATTAGTTTCAGGTGTACAATATAGTGATTCCACATTTATATACCTGACAATGTAATCACTGCAGCAAGTCTAGCAATCATCCTGTCACCATGACTACAACGCATTTTCCAGGTCTCTAGTGACAGGATCTTGAATTCCAAGTTTCTTAGCTGTAAAATGGGAGGCTTGGAATAGGAACGGAACAAAACAAAACAAAACAAAACAAAACAAAACAAAAACACCTCTAAGATCCCCTCTACATTCTATGGTCAAAGTACAGACAAGCCAGAAACACACCAAAGGACCAATTTTTGATCTGAGGGCCACTTAGCTTTTAGGCTGTGCTTTATATTTTTTAGGAGAATCTTTAAAAGACATGACTAGATCATGCTCTTCAGGATACTGGCATGTAACAGTAAAGTGACTCCTTCCTTTGGAGAAGGAGGTTAATGCTCCTGCATACAGAACCAGGACCTTTTTTTAGATCTCCTAATAGGGGCTATACTAAGAATGGCAGGCCCAGCTTGGGGCCAGAAAAGCTGCTATTTTCCTTTCCATTTCTCTGTTGACATGCTCACATCTCCTGCTATATTTTCCTTTGTATGCGGCCTAAAGCTCAGCAGGATTTTTAAAGAAAAGAAGAGTATTTGTGGGAGGAAGGGAGTGGATCTAGACAAAAGGGAAGAGGCACATTTATGGCTTTATTTTCTGAGGAATACAAACCTATCACTCTTTCCCCTGCCTCCACTTTCTAAAGGAAGCCTGCTTTGGAAGCATGGGCAGGATTACGCTGTAACCAGCTGACAGGATAGGGAAAATAGCATTTTAAAGTGTTTGGGACCTGTGAAGTCTTTAGAAGGGTTTGGCTAATTCTGCTCTGGGAGTCAGGATCATTCACTAACAGAAAATGCCTCCCCAGTATTACAGTGGGTGGTCATCTGCCTTATCCCCCAGAGGTGGCAGGGAGAGGGCTGGATGAGAAGGGAATGGTCAGCTCTGCTTTGCTGGGAAAGCAGGGGTGATACTGGAACATGTCTGAAAAGGTTTTAATTCACATTTTTATTTTTTATTTTAAAAATCACTTTGCATTAAAAGGTTAAACTTTGCATTACCTTTTAAAAAAATATAATAAAATGGCTAGCATTTCTTTTGGCCTAACTGGAAACTGAAAGAGAGGCTTCAGAATAAGTGGTAAAGGAAAAAGAAAATTACAACGTGTGTTACTGCAACTGGATAATTAGTAAAAGTTAATTATTTAATCCATGAACCAGAAGTGGTTAAATTATAACTTGACCATAAATAAAATACTACTTTCATAAATATTAATTTCCACTCTGTCCGTTTTGACTCACTACTTTCAATGATCTCAAGATTCAAAGCAAGCTTTCTCTCTATCAAAATAGTTTACTAAAACCAACCAGACATATCCCACATGTACAGAAACCAACAACAGATCACATGAATGCCGTGTCACATCCTACCAGACCTCTGATGTTGGACTTGACAAACTTGATTTAGAATTCCTTTTACAACCAGTGGCTATACAATTGTGCCATTCAGATGGTAAAGTATTAATCTCTCCTGATCCCCACTCACCTGCTCCAGAAGGCGATCTTTTGTGCCACACCTGCGATGATTTGGATTATTAGAACAAGGGAGCTGTGTGGTATACCAGAAACATCAGACCAGGAGCCCACAGATCCACCATCCAGCTTCATCACTTTACTGGCTGGGCATCTTTGGGCAAGTCACTTAACTTCCCTAAGCACATGAGGTTTACCATCACCAAAACATGGGGAAATACTGTCTTCCACATAATGTATGAAAGTGCTATAGAAATTGCAATGAGCATTACCATCACCCATCACACCACTGATTGTGATCGATGCAAGTGATAGATGAACAGAAACTTGGTAACTTGCCTGAGGTTACATGGTTAGAAAGTGGCCGAACAAGGGTTCCCAAGCAGGCATTCTGCCTCTTAACTGGCCTGGGCCTCTCTGGACCAGCCACTATTTGCAGTAATATTTGACTTGGCAATTAGTGGTGATTTCTTCGGTTCTTTTCTTTTATAGCTTCTCCGTTTATTAAATACTTAGAAAGGTCTTCTCTACTTGGAGAATATATATATTTTTAAAACCATGTTTTCTTTTGGTAATTCTGTAGTTATATTTCAAAGTTTAAATCTTTGAAATACCCAGAATTTATTTTGGTGGATAGTAAGAGTTTGGATTCAACTTTGTTTTCCAGATGGCTTCCCAGTTGTCACAATAACTTCTGTTGAATAATCTAACCTCTCCCCACTGATCTGAAATGCCAACTTTATTATACACAAAATTCTCATATTATTTGAATCTATTTCTTGACTTTTTGTTGACAATCAGTAAACAAATACACAGCCTATTTAATTACTGTAGCAGTATCATATGTTTAACCATTTGGGAGAGCTGGTTGCCCTTGTTATTTTTCTTTTCCAGAATTTTTCTGGCTGTCCTTTAGAAACTCAGAATCATCAACTGGTATTTCTGCTAGGATTGTGTTAGATTCATAAATTAATTTAGGGAAAACTGATGCCATTAGGAGGTTGAGTCCTCTGCTGAATAACATCCATGAATGTGTGTACTTCTGTGTTTGGTTCGTCTTTTACTTCCTCCCCACCTCTGTTTGGTGAGCTCCTATAACAGTTTAAAGTTTTGCTCATATAAGTGTTCCTTTATTACATTTACTCCAGGAGTTAGGAACGTATTTCTATATGGTTAATGTTATCACATGTGTGCATTATTTAAAGCAGATGTGGTAACAGAAACTGTTAGCTACAATACTTAGGAAGTGTCATTCATTTTTGTTTGGTTATGTGCTCTGTTCTTGAAACCTCGGCAAACTCAGGTGTGAAAACATCACTGGAACCAACGCCACATGACATGCTTCTTTTTAACTCCTGTTAAGACATACTTTTCTCCAAAAATGTTTTAGCATGAATACAGAACTTGTTAGAGTTTTGGAAATCTTTGCTCTATGTCAGTTCATCTTAAATTTTGGGAGTACATAGAGCCTAGTGGTATTATATTACAAAGTAACAATTTTTCCTGAACTAAAAACCACAAAACTTACCTCCCAAATTCATTCCGGCTTGAAGACATTTCTGAAGTCTGCAGGCAGGACAATTCTTCCGTCGAATCTTATCAATGATGCAATCATTTCTTCCAGCACATAAATAGTTGTGTTGCCCTGCATAAAATAAAATTTAAAAAGCAACTATTAAAACAAAGATTATTATACTGATATAAATTACTAACATGCATACTCAGCATACTCAGAATATAAAGTTTCCCTTTTCCTTCCTTGAAATCTCCTTTTCAAAGAAGCAGAAGAGAAACAGGATTTATGGGTAATACAGGCACAGGGATGGTCAGCTGAACACAGATGAGATTTTGGATTACAGATGATCAGATTAACACAACATTTGTTTATTTCCAAAAGGTCCTCATTCATATAAGGAGAGCTGCTCTCCCCCATTGTTTAAATATTTTGATAGCTACATGCAGCTTTCAGATGTGCAAATTATATGCAGGGATCACAACAACACTGATCTGAATGAAGGTCCTGCCACAGCTGTTTAATCTGCCATGCCTACAAACAGTTTACAAATGTGATTTCAACCAGAAAACTTTCAAATTATACAGTAATTATTGCACATGTTTAACTTCCATTCTGCTGACGAAACTGGAAAAACATTCACATGTGGGAATATGTTTAGAGAGTGGCATCTACTGGCAACAGGTAAACTTGTAGCCTAGCTCTATCACTCATTTATTTATTCAAAAAAATATCTACAAAACATCCAGTAGGTACCAGGTACTATTAGAAACACTAGGGATACAATAATTAATAAGACAGATATCCCTGATCTCATTAACTTTCACTCAATTGTGGGGAGATAGACAACAGATGAGGTAATTAGGTAAAATACACAAATGTACAGCAATCCACTCTAGGGAATAAAAGAAGGGAAGGGGTATATAACACAATGCAGGCTTGGGAGGGCACGGGGGATGTTGGCATTTTAGAAACAGTGCATGCGGCGGGGCGGGGCTCACTAGAAGGTGATTTTAAATGAAAGGTCTGAAGGAAATGAAGGTGCTGTATGGATATACCAGGCAGTGGGAAAAGCAAATGAGGTGGGGGCAGGGGCGGGGAGGCTGCTTGGCATGTTTAAGCAATAGCCAAGTGGGAAAGAGGAGAACGATTGAGTGGAAACAAGAGGAGACGAGGAGAAAGAGCTAAGGTAAGTCCGCTCATGTAGGGCCTTATAGGTCACATTTGACTTTGACTTTTACCCTGAGTGAGACGGGAAGGGCTCTGAGCAGGGAAATGACCTGATGTGGTTTAAATTTGACAGGATCTGCTGGCTGCTGTTTTGAGCACTGACTGCAATGGGCTAGGGAAGGGAGCAGGGGAGGAGGTTGGAATCCAAGGGTGGGTCAGTGGGGTAGCAATGACCGTGGTGAGAAGTGGTCAGGGTCTAGATGCATTTGAAACGCAACAGCTACTAGGATTTGTGGATCAGAAAAGCATAGTTAGAGGCATTAAGATGCTTGGGCTGCCGAAACCGGTTTGGCTCAGTGGATAGAGCGTCGGCCTGCGGACTGAAAGGTCCCAGGTTCGATTCCGGTCAAGGGCATGTACCTGGGTTGCGGGCATATCCCCAGTAGGAGATGTGCAGGAGGCAGCTGATTGATGTTTCTCTCTCATCGATGTTTCTAACTCTCTATCTCTCTCCCTTCCTCTCTGTAAAAAATCAATAAAATATATTTAAAAAAAACATGCTTGGGCTGAACAATTAAAAAAATAGAAATGCCACAAATCAAGATGCAGAACACAGGAGGAGCATGTGATTTACAGGTAACTGTCAAGTTTGAGAGGCCTGAGAGGTATCTATCTAAGTACAGGTGTCAAATTGGCAGCGAAATACACAGGTCTGGAGTTAGGGAGAGGTCTGGGCTGGAGATGGAATCAGCTTGTGGCCATTATTTTAAGCCAGGGGTGGGGAACCTTTTTTCTGCCAAAGGTCATGTGGATATGTATCACATCATTCTCGGACCATGCAAAATTATCAACTTAAAAATTAGCCTGCTATATTTGGTCAAACATTTAATTAACTCACCCTTAATGCCTTTGCAGGGCCAGACCAAATGATTATTTTGCAGGCTTCATATGGCCCATGGTCGTTCCCCACCCCTGAATAAGCCATGAGATTGGATGAGATCATAGGGAGAGTGGGCAAAACTGGGAAGAGAAGGGTCTGAGGACTGAGGCCAGGGTCCCTGCAAACATGCAGACAGGAGTCCAGGGAGTGAACAGGCTCAAAGCACTCCCTTCAGCCTAGTGCCATCACACTCCCTTGGTTGAGAATTATACTCAATAAAAACAATGTGCAGTCCTTAATGCAATTAAAATAATTTAATCCAGAGCACATTCTCAGTAACACAATGGCAAATATTAGTAATAATAATAAAATGCTAGCAACAGCATAGGGAAATCTATCAAAGTGAAGAAATGAAACCCCACCATTACAGTAATCTAATGACTTATTTAAAAAATGAAGGCTCTAAGTGAATATGATGAGGTGCAGATAATTACACAAAGGAAATCAAGAGGTAAAAACTGTAACTGTGGAATGGCATTAAGTAATTTAAAGTATGTGTGGTTGGAGTCCCAAAAGGAAATGAGAGAACAGGTGAGAAAAAATATGTGAAGATTTCCACATTTGAATAAAACCACCACTTGAAAATCCAGAAAGCTTAGCAAATGCCCCAAAAGATAAATACCAAAAGAATACCACAAACAAAAAAAACCTAAAACAACCCACTATGACAGAAAATAGTAAAATTTCTAAAAAAAAAATTTAAGACTTAAAAGCAGTCAAAGCAAAACCAAAAAAATTACACAAAAGGGAACAAGAATAAGAGTAATAACTGATTTAAACAAATAAAGCTAGAAGATAACATATAATATCTTTAAAGACTGTCAACTCAGAATAACCAATGAAAACTTTATCAAAATGAAGGAGAAATAAAGACATTTTAGGATAAAGCTAAGAAAACCTGTTGCGAGCAGAATCACATTATAAGAAATGAAAAAGGAAGTTATTCATGCAGAAGGAAAATACCAGCTAGAAACTGAGATGTAAAGAGAGGGTCCTGCTTGGCTTTCTGACCCTGGATTAAGCTGTCCCTGCCTTTCCCAGAACCCTCTGCTGCTTCTTTGCAAATAAATCCTCAGAGCTCTTTTCCTTGATGTGTATGTGGAGAAGGGACTGAAAGGTATGCTACTGGAGATGAGGCAGAAATGATTTGTATACATGGATCTTTTGTGAGCCTCTTAAAAGCCAGAAGGCCTTGGATGGGTTTGTGTCTACACGCAACATACTGCATGAACATGTAATTCTGTATGTCATACATGTATTTAACTTATCGGTAACCATGCGTTCCTTCTTTCAGCATTATTCACTAGCAACTATCTGCCAGGCAGTATGCTGTTTGTACCACATCTCTCCTTTCTCCATTACCTTACAGACAGATTCTTCATGGTGCCCAGCAGAGGGTCAGAGTGCCCATCAATGGGTACTCAGCACTTCTGTACAAAAGTTTCATTTTAAATGAATATTTTGGAATCTTCAAATCATAGCCCATTTACTTTAAGCTGTGATTTCTCTCCATGTTGTGGATAGGTGCACTTTTTTCCTTTGGAGAATCCATTACAGTGCTTGCTACCAGCTAGTTAGAACTTTCTCTAAGTTTTTATGAGAGAAACTAATTATAATCAACTTGAAAATTGTGGGACATTTGTATTTCCCCTATAAGTTTTTGATTTATTTAGTTTCCAACTTTTTGTACAGATTCTTGAGTATTAGTGTATTTACACTGATAAATAGGTTGTGAGTTTTTGGACTTAGGGGTGGGGGAGTAACTGGATCATATTCTTAGCCAACCGCATGGCTAGTGCAGCAAACGTAAGCAAAGCTTGGATCAGAGGCATCGGATACAGTAATGCTGCATCATTATTTTTACTGGTGCTTTTATTACTGATATTTTATCTTTATTTTTATTGGTGTGAAAGATAATGAATTCTGTGGCTTACTTTTTTTTAACATATATTTTGATTTCAGAGAGAGGAAAGGAGTGGGAGAGAGAGAAACATCAATGATGAGAGAGAATCATTGATGGGTTGTCTCCTGTACACCCCCCACTGGGGATTGAACCCGCAACCCAGGCATGTGCCCTTGCCCGGGAATCAAACTGTGACTTCTGGGTTCATGGGTGGATGCTCAACCACTGAGCCAGGCCTTATTTTTCACAGAATGGAAAAACTCCAATGATTGGTCACTTTGCATAGCTGTATCTCTATTCACATATACAGACATACAGGTCAGTCCTGCATCCCTTGCACCATACTCAGAGACATCCTATAGCTGAGGACGGGCAGTGCTGGGAGCTGCCAGCAGTCCCTTGCCCAGCTGAAGGTCAGCCCGAGGTTGAGGCAGCACTGAGCACATCTTCCCAATACCTCTTTATGTTTGACCTCAGGAAGGAGTCCTGTCCCTGCCTTTCTCTGGCTCCGCTAATTTCATATTCAGTGACATATAGAGATATGCACACGTCCTTCAATTCCACAGCAATGTTCTGCACCCCTAACTCTATGTGGAAAAATCTGCTCTCCTCTTTTATCTCACTTGGGAACTAAGTCATAAGCATGGCTGATAATGAGGGTAGCCCCTTTCATCAAGTAAAATGCTCAAATTTTCAGGTAAAATTACATATGGAAAGAACCAGGTTCTAGAAGCCTTAAAACTATGATGAACACCTACAAACAACTTTTAGAATCTTTAAAGAAAGGAGCAGGCATTAACCAGGCAGGAGATTAAAGTGATTCTAGACTAATTGGAATGCCTCAAATTCTACGTTTTGACTTACCAAGACACTTTGGGAGCACAGCCCTTTTTATATCGGCGGGAGGGGGGAGGGGGGGAAGGGTTGGCTAACTGGAGAGAATAAGAATTGACGTTGCCCCTGTCTAGCACCCCAGGTCCTTTCCCATCTCTCTGAAGAAACTGTGCCTGGGGCCTCAGATTGTGCTTCTAGAGGGGACCACTTCTGTCCCCCACCCCATGATGTTTCCTCCTCAGAGGGATACCATATTCCAGGCACCCTCTCCGCCCCCCACTCCCT